TGTGTGTGTGTGTGTGTGTGTGTGTGTGTGTGTGTGTGTGTGTGTGTGTGTGTCGAGGCAACGTACCCGAGACTGAACCGCGCTCCTTGATGCCTCCTCATCTGGCCAGCTGTGTGCAGATGCAAACCTCTCCCCCCTCCTCTTGTCCCACAAGTGGCTGTCACGGCTCCACACGTGCGAGCCCACCAGGTTTCAGACCCTCAGCTCTCAGATGTCGGTCTTTGCAGTGGGAAACGAATCTCTCACTTCTCCCTYTCCTCTTTCTCCTTCCTGCCGCTCTCAGCCTTGTGCGTGCAGAGCGCACCTCCTTCTACTCGTCGTTGGTTCTTGTCGTGGTCACCACAAAAGACAGCAGGCTTTTTTTTACAATAAAGGAATAAATAAACAAATAAATAAAAATAAAAAGGGGGGTCGCATGAGGTTTTCCTCCCCTTCAGTCAGTGCTCCTCAGTAGGTCAGGGTTCCAGCCATCCCCCCCACCCACCCCTGGCATGGATGTGGGATTCTGGGAGACGAGCGGCTGAATGGAGCGTGCTGTTGCTGGAGCTGTTGCCTCTTTCAGTGTGAGCGCCTCTCTCTCTCTCAGCATGCTTTTCATCTCTCTCTCTCTCTCTCTCTCCACCCCCCTCCTTCGCTTTTCTCAGTCACCGTGAGTCTGTTTCTGCTCCGACCGTGGGCTTCACAGTGCAGTGTGACTGTCAGAGTGAGTCCCTCTAAATAAAWMKAAGGGAATTAAAACAGCTGTTAGAGGATGGAAAGGGACAGGAATGTTCTATAACAAACAATAAAAACATCATTAAGGCTGAATCACATTTTCTGTTTTTACACTGACCCTTAGATCGTGTCCTTTTGCTTCTAAATGTGTCACATAACTTCTTGAAAATTAGAAAATGATATTTTTAATACTAGTTAAGAAAGAGAAATGACACCAAATCTGATTCTTCAAAATACATCAAAGTGAAAATTAGAACAGCTGTGAAAAAAAAACAAACTATTTTTTTAAACTGACAGAATATACTTGGCAATTTTTTCATGTGCGCAACCCACATACTCAGCTTTACTGCTCATCCCACAAATGCATGTTCCTTACAAATGTGGCTCCATTTAAAAGTGACATTAACAGGAAGATGCATTGCAAAGAAGCAGAAATAACCTAACAAACACAAATTTACTTTTGTGCTAAGTTTAGTTATGTTTGTGAATTTCGTAGGGCGTGCAACTTTTTATTTAGAGGTTGAATGACATTTTGCCCCTACCCCTGAGCACTCTCTTATTGTTTTGTGGGTGTAAGTCAAGGGACAGATATCTGTTCAGTAGAAGTTGGCTATTGTGATAGGCTGATTAACTGGACCTGAAACTGATTAAGTTACAAAGGGGAACCACATGTGCTTGCACATAAACTCTTTTTTCCTCTGTTTTATTTTATTTTATTTTATTTTATTTTATTTTATTTTATTTTATTTTATTTTATTTTATTTTATTTTATAGAAATGTGTTTTAATGTCACATCAGCCTTTATAATGTCTAGTTTGGTGCAACACATTTTATTAAGTTCAGAAATATTGTGGTGATATTCTCACATGGTTTCATAGCAGCATTAAGCATACTGCACTTAATGCACAATGTTAGTATAACTTTTATGTTAATGCATTAACAGGTTTTTTTTCACAATGCCCAAAACATTGTTTCACTTTGGAAAATTTCAATTATCCATTCAAAATTCAATACATTTAAAACAATTTTTATCAGWGTAAAGYATATACAATAGCMTTTTTTYCTATGAAAAAGTCTGTCAGTRAAAGGCCCAGTTTCCACTGTTTTAATAAAATCTACCACRATGTTGTCAAATATTGGGACCTATAAATATGACCTTTAAATCTCAAAATCCAGGCTAACATTTAAAGGCAGCCTGTCTGGGGACATTGAATTTAAGGTTAAAGTTAATTATTTCTTGCAATGTGCTGCAGCCACCTGAGCCAAAATAACACCAAAACCTTCACAGATCACAGATTTATGAGAATCACATGTAGAAGATGAATGATGCTTCCAAAAATACACTTTTTGGAAATGCCATTCTTTTCAGTGGATCTGTCTGTTTATGCATGTCCACCGTTTTGCCCGAAGCTTAAAGAGAGAAGGAGCGAATGAGAGTGAGGGAAAAATAGACATTTTTATTGTTCGGTCCTGTTGCCTTGTCAGGGGAGATCAGATCACACAGGGCTGAGGTTTAAACACACACGCACACACACGCACGCACGCACGCATGCACTGAAATGCAATCTTCGGSCCTGACTGACTGCCCTGTGAGGTCAATACCAGCTCATGGCAGGAGAGGAATAGTCTGTCTTGTAACCCAGGAGGTCAGAGGTCTAGTCTATCTCAGGGCCTGTTGGAGACTAAGTTCAGCACCTGCCATTCCAGTGTCTGCAAACTTCCTGAGCTTTACGGCTACACAGACATAAAAACATACAGTAGTATTGTGTTTTTTTCTGGGTGATTTCTAATGCAAAAATATAAATAAACACATTTATTATCAGATTTTATAATGTCTACCCTCACACTTGAGTCTACTGTTATYAGTTTTCATTTGAGATATATGTGGTATCTGGACACCAGGTTTTCTCAAACCAAGTACAAGCATGTCATTTTGGGTAGTATGCCAATACTTTGTTCCAATACCGATTGCTWACTGAGTTAAAACCTAAAAATTACACATTGACTTTAAAAACAAAAACAAAGAGACTCTTATACCTTATAGGCCTACAACCACTCTGATTAGATCAAATTGAATATATAGCATGATATATACAAGTACAACATAAACAAACAAACAAACAAACAAACAAACAAACAAACAAACAAATAAATAAATAAATGTTTTTTTTCAACTTTACATTTATTAAAATGAAACAGTCAAACTTCACTTGAAATGTAAACTGTAACACATTTGATGGCGTATCTATATCAATATCACAGTATTGATGTTTGTCTGGGCTTTTTGTATAAGTACTTGAAAAGCTCCAATAACGATATCCTGCTGTTTTGTTAAACATATTTATTAAAATTCATGAGTGCTTGAACAAAAATAAAATCCTTTCAGACCCACATGAGTTAGCTATAATGTGTATTTTTAGTCGTCTTACTAAGAAGCAGTGATCCAGTTGAAGACAGGGTGGTATTTTCCACCTGACTCTAAGTCTGTTGCTCATTCTGACGTCCCCCGGTGAATCCTAAACATAACAAAGTAGAGWAAGGATGTCAGATTTGACTCGCCGCATCACGTTCAGATGTCTCCACCAGTGCTTAGGAACAACTGAATTGTCAGTYGCAGGTAGATTATCAAAGGATAAACCAGCTGCAGCAGTGAGTGTTGGATTAAAGTTGCTCTTATCTAATGACAGTGAAAAATCGTGCATTTAATTAGTGGTGGGAGCCACGTCTAATTGAACAAAGCTGCTTGTGATTCTCCGTGCATCTCTTTGTTCTGTGAAGTTTAAAATATATTTCAAAGATGAGCTGTGCAGGCTCTYCTGTGGTTTGTTATTTATTAACCTGTGACTGCTCTGCAGCTGATTTGTATGTGGATATAGTAACTACCATTGATACATTTTTAAATCAATTTTTTTTTCTCTCTTCTGCTTTACGTACAGAAAAAAGTCTTGTGTTGATATTCTCTGCATTGTTCAGATTTTACTTCTGTAACACCAAAGCAACACATATTGTGTCGACGCAAACATCTGCTTTATGCTGATTAAGCAAAKTACTTTTATAGCAATACATCAGCCAAATCAAATTATTTTGTTTTACTCAATACCAGAATGATATGGTCACATCTTCTGAGAACCTGCATRAAGGATTTGAGGTGCAAGATACATTACTTCTGGTATTTTGACCAAAGAAAGGAAGGTTTTAGCTGAAACACTTCATGAACAAGTCATTTTTCAATAAAGTTTTTATCTTTTGAGCCTCAGTTAAACTATTGTACAACCTTCAGCATTGTTTAATCAGGTTGTTGATTTTGTCTTTTTTGCCAGTAAAACTAGTTGTTGGCTGCAGAAATACCACTTTTCTAGAGCTTTGTTCTTTAATAAAATGAAATAATGTACCTTCTGTGACCTAAAATAACAACAGATACAGTGTGTGCACAGCCGCTAGCGTCTTCTCTGCAGGTGCAAAGTGTTAAGATAAAATGTGTAAATGTAAGAATTGTGGGTCGCACAAGTCACAGTCTCCTTTCTCAAAGCTCCTGACTTTCTGCAGGTGGAGGCTTTTAGATGCATTGACATTTCAGACAGAATAGGGTGGCATTTGAGTTTTGAAAGGCCTGGGTTAGACATGAGTGGATCTGATCACGTGGATGGGTTATAAACGTGTTTAAAAAGGCTGCTTGTATGAAAACGGTTCTGCTGTTGCAAACTGGGAATCCTTTTGAACAATTACAGCTTGGACTACTGGTGAATATGATGAATGTTTTCTTTTAGTCTATTTTTTATGAATGTAGTACATTTTTTATGTCTTGAGTGGAAAATAATTCCCGGTCGCTTCGACCTTTTCATTTTACGTTACGTCTCAGTACCCCAAGATATGTGAGTTAATTTCATAAGAAGAGCAAAGTCTCTGAAATGTAATTTAAATTTGCATGGATTATATAACTGCTTTTTGTTCTATCATATTTCTTGTCAGCCAGAGACTTGCTCATTACATTTGTTTTTGGCAGCCTTTCTGTGTTTCAGTCTACTCTAAAGGAGAATGGGTCAAAAGCCAAGAGATTTACATCTGTAATTTGCTGTACTTATAATTATATCATAAATTCCCTACGTTTCTTTTCACACACTGCTGACGACAATTATCTTCTGGGAATTTTTTTTAAATAAAAGAAATGTTTCTCACTGTGTACAAATTAGGAGCTAATAATGATACTTAGATTTTACACCTGCTTAATATCCATCCCTAATATATAAAAAAGTTGTTGTGTTGTGTAAAATGTAATTAAAAATAGAATGCAATGATTTGGAAACGTTACAAATCCTGCTTTGGTCTCAATGGAGTGTAGTAAACATATCAAATGTTAAATTGCACCTTTATGTAAATATGAAGTAAGTTGGAGCCTGGTTAAAACCAGACCCTTGTTCTTTGCTTTGCTTCATACGAGGGTCTGGACTCTCAGCTATAGAGAAGCGATTCTTGCTGGAGGCGTGGCCTCTGCTGAAGTTTGAAACGATTGGATTGGTTGGCCGCGACGTACAGGGGTGCCTGCAGGATTTTATTGGAGGGTAAACCCATCTACCTGATCCACACAAACACAGGCCACATAGGTGGGATGCGTGTGGCACACAAAAACATCAACTTGGCACCACGCCAGGTCCTGACCGACATGCCACAGGAGCTCGATGCGCATCTGTCCCACAGACCCAAACCGTGCACACACGTTTGTCCCACTTTTAACTTGTCACATTACGAAAAGACCAAAAATAAATCGGCAAAAGTTAGCTGTTTAGTGGTTGCAGTTTGTAACATTACATTATTTCAGTCTGCGTCCTTTGCAGGA